GATGGGGAAGCTGGTAAGGAAGTCCCATGACTCAGTGGGACGTTGGATGGGGAAGGTATGAACAAAAATGGGCAGAAGAGATTCTGTAGGAGCCAGAAGAGGGGCTGCAGCCAGGTGCAGTTTATCTGGTGGGTGGTTGGTCCTCAGTAGCTACACAAGGGCCAGGGGACCCTCTGCATGCTTCCAGCTGTGAGAAGTGCCACTAGTGTGCATGTCCAAGAGATGTATGGGCAAGGAGAAGGTGAGATGAGAGCACCAGGGCAAAGAAATACAGCATGATTTGCAGGCTGACCATCTGGATGTTATAGCTCTTCTAAAACAGAGCATTGGCAGGGAGTGGTAAGGAGATGCAAAGTTTAAGAAGGATCTCCACAGGGCTGGAGATGTGCAGGTACTATTCTTGCACAAGACTCACTAGAGATAGTAAGTGATAACCTGCTCTTTACCTCCTGGAGCATGCAACACAGACCACCCCATGAGGAGGGTGAGCTGCAAATCTGCACTCAAAACCTGCAAACTGTGGTCCCAGGTGTCCCCAGTCCTGGTGATGCCAGCTCCATCTGGCACACTGGATATAAAAGAAGAACCAGGGATTGTGAATGATATTGCAACCTGCACTTTCATCAGATGTTGGGAGTGCAGTGTTAATGTAGCATCTTGACCTGCTTGGCCACTCTTAGATCTCACTGACTGCTGCTGGAGACAAGATATAAAAAGTAGATAGATCTTTAGTACAGTCTTTCTTCAGTTCTTACAGCTCTGCGTACAAACATGGAATAAATGCTTGTTCCTATTTGCTTAAATGCAGTTTCTCAGCTCCCAGGACAACATTGTCTAAAATGGCTTCTTATTTTGGATACTTCCATTTTGAGTCACATTTCAAGTTCTACATGAATATACTTAACCACGGCTTTGACGAACAGGACTGGTACATCTCAAACTGCACATCCTAACATCCAGACGTTTCAGAGGAAGGGCCATTTGTGTACAATTAATTTGGTGTTTATTAAATTGGCAGCAGAAGAGAGTCTGCAGGGCAAGGCTCTGAGCTGTATAGTAAGTCACATTTGCAGTGTTATTCTATTGGAATTCCTGGATTGCCACTGACTTAACTCTGAACCAACATCTGCTGTGAAAGGGTAAGGAAGAGAACTTTGTCCTTAAACTTTTGATGACTCCAGTTAATGAGTAATCCACATACCTCTCATCTACAATCTGGAAACCGTCAGTTGCTTTTAATTGTTGATGTGGTGAGCATCAAGGTCCTGGTATGACAGGAAAGGAAATGCAATAACTGTAGCTCTGCTGGGCCCCTCAAAATATATGACTGTGCACTTGGTGCTGTGGGATCTTCTGTGACTGTTCATTCAACTGACAGTGCCTATGATCTGACATGACACATAATACATTATTTAAGAAACAGTTGTCTACCGGAACATAAAACAAAAGCCTCCCTTCTTTTGTCGGTTGATCTGATACAGGCAGTCTTTATTGTTGCACAGGAGGTTGATAAAGTAAAGAAATAAGTAGATAAGAAAAGAGCTCTTCTGTGGTCCTAAAATCATAGGCAGAAAGTGCATGGATGAACCTAATCCAAGCAGAAATCTGAACACAGTGGGACAGTGTAGCTTTAACTATCATTTCCTAACACAGAAAAATCTGTGCCATGACAAAACTGCTATTTTGTCACCTCTGTCCTCTTAACCTTTGGTGCTTTATTGTGGAGAGCTCCTCAGTCTGAAGAGATAAGCTTTTTATTCATTTATTTGTTTATTTCTTTATTTTAAATTTATTTATTTTTAAATCCAACATATTCTCCTCTTAGAAAGAATACTATGTGCTTTCTGATGAATACCAGAGCTCAAGTGCACATATATGAAATAAGAAGGAATCCAAGCTGTCTTTGGCAACAACACACTGGAATAAAAAATTAGTGATCTGCTACCTCAGTACCTAAAGGTGCTGGTAATGACCTGCTTCAATGGAAAAGAACGTGATTCCATGTGCAGCAGTCTCAGGACTCTACCAACACTGGGTCAATCCACTGTGTTTTTCTAACCTTCTCCCATGAATCCATCCTATATCCATGTGCTTCTAGCCTCATTTTCTGCAGGGAATGAAATTTCCATGATCATGCCATCTAACTGTCTACCAGCCAGTATGCACTTAACCTGCTTTCTGTCAATGTGACAGAGGGATAGGGGCTGAGGCAGAATTAAGTGCCTTTGAGATTTGTGAAAATCAGCAGCAGGATTGAAGGCAGAGGCTCCACACAAGTGGCCTTGCTAGGAGAGAGCTGGGCAGAGCCCGGCTGCTCCATATGCTGCTTGCTAATGTCACTCACCACACGTGCAACTCTGGCCTCTCTTGATCCATGAGGCAGAGGGCTTGTGGTTGTTGCAGCCAGTGTTTTGGCCAAGGAAGGAGAGCAACGGGGAGTAGGACATGTCTGCATCTGTTCCACAGAACAGTTTGTTTAATGATAAACTTCCAGTTACTCTCATTGCTGTGTGGCTCCTGCGATTTCTAAAGGGCCCTGCAAAGAGGCAGATCCATCTCTCCCACCAAAGGCAGACAAGCACTCACAGCCTCCTCCTCACTCCCATCCCTAGGCTAGTCCTGCTGACCTCCCTTTGTGTCCACTCAGGAGGAGTGGAAGAAAACTCAGAGCAGCTTCCAGGACTCTGGAGATAAGAAATAGGCTTATTCTTTGAAACCATATAAAAAAACCCACCAAGAGTTGGATGGAAAGTACAGCCTAGCTCAGAATTTCCCTAGAGAAAATCCTGACCAGGGAAAGTTCAGAAGCAGATTTCTCCTCCCCTAGCACAGGGAGTTTCAGTTTCCTTTTTTTGTATCTTGCTTTCTTGCTTCATGTATTTTGCTGTGGAAGAGCAGCTGAGCTTGCAAATACTTTTGGAGGAAAAGGGTTGTTTTCCTTGAAGCAGTGCCCGTCCTAGAGGGAAAAACCATGTGCTTGAAGCGTGTCAGCTCCTGTGTTAGTTTGAGAGAGGAGGAATGCTTTTTAACATCCCCTTGGCAAGCGTGCACACTGTTCACATTTCCCAAATCAAGCTGAAGCCTGCCCCTTTATGCACACTTATTTTTCCAGTTCTGTGAAGGGAAACTAATGACCTCAGACCTGAGCGTGCTTCAGCCTCCTCTCGCCTCTATCTGGCCAGCCCATTTGGGGAAAGATTTCTGTGGGTTGGCCCACAGCCGGGCTAGTTATTTACTCTGTATTTGTCACTGTGGGTTTTCTTTCAAGTCAAGGGAGATTTTTGAAGGGTAAACATGTAACTCTGCAGGACCCATAGACACGTGGATGAAAGCTGAGCACCCTCCTCAGATGCACCCTCCTTAACGTGCCTAACTCGTGGTGGCAAGAGAGCTATCATTTCAGTGAAAAATAGATGGGAAATATATTAGCTGGAGCCCTCATCTCTCCAAGATTTCCTTCAGCAAAATGGACTTGCTTCTGTCTTCTCTGCAAGAACTCTATCATCATCTCATAGAGGAGGAAGCGGCAAGAGTTTATATTTTCTCTCCCTCTAGAGAGAACCACTGGGATTTACTTTTTACTAGTACCTATCTTCTAGGTAATGGATTCAGATATTTGAAACAGGAAAACAGAAAAACAGAGCTCAGAGACTGTTACATTTATTATGTCTGTCAATGAAAATCAAAGCAAAAAGCTTTAAAGATAGGTAGGCTTTTTCAACAGTGAGGTTCCTGGTGAAATTGCTGCCTGACTTCCCTCGCAAAACAGACTGGAGTTTCCAAAGGCATTACCCACCCACTGAGCTTGCTGGGCTGAGATGGACTTTTATGTGCTGAGGTACTGCCCAACTAACTTGTCCTCTCAATGATTTTTAAAGGTGATTTGGCTGAAGAGTGCCCAGCCTGGTGTGTCCTCAAGGAACCTGGTTTTTGAAAGGGGCTGACTGTACACCCTCGTCAAAACTCAAAAAGCTCCTAAAAGACTTCTGACCATCTTGAACTCAGTAGCCTAAAGACAACGGCCACATCTGCTTTCCAAAAATAACACGTCAGCAACTTTCAGAGTTTCATGATTTGTAAATGCTTATGTGATTGACCTCAGACTTCCTCAAAAATGCTCCAGAGGGAAACAGCTCTCACATATCACAAGGAAAGGAGTTTTTTTGTTGTTTTTTTTTTTGTTGTTTTTTTTTGTTTGACATCTAGAGGGGATGTCCAAACGGTTCCTCTGTGGGGAGCTGCCTTCATTTGTTTGTATGGGGAAAATTTTCAGCATATAATTTAGTAGAATTATGTCATTCTAGTTGTACTTGCTTGTTTCGAATGACAAAAAGCTCTGAGAAGGGATGCTTCTTCTGGAACATGAGTGTCTATATGGAGAGCCATGCATGCAGCATAGTATAGTATAGTTCAGATTATGCAGCTATGCTGTAAATTCTGGCCTCGGTCAAGTCACAGGGTCTTCCTCATGTTACCACCTGAAGCTTTACATGTCGTTTCAGAAATGCCACTGAATTTGGCCAAGCTTTTTCTTCACAGACACTATGTTATCACAAACAATAACAAAAAAAAAGCTGAGAAGGGATTTCAAGAGGCTGACAAATACATTTCCCTGATATTTTGTCAGACGAGAGAGATTATTTCAGCACCTGTTTTGATACCCTTCATGCTGGCCCACAGCACCCCAATACTGTCTCTATAACAGGGTCCATCACCCGGTTAACCAACAGGCAGTTGGAAAAACAGCAGTAGATCAACCAACAGGCAGTTGGAAAAACAGGAGTGACCTAAACAGTTTTATTGGGAGGGGCGCTGGCTCCTGCACGTAGGGATTTTCCCTGTGACGTGGTGAACTTCAGAATAAGTCCGGCTTGGGGATTCCCCCATCTGCCTCCAGAAATATCTCAGTAGAAGCTGTAGCATTTTCACTCTGCTCTCACCGCCCTTCCTGCACAGAGGCACACTGCTGCTGCCGCCGCTGCCCTGAGATTTAAGGCAGCATGTCTTTGATAGTCTCTGCTCGGCTCTTCATCCTGTGCAATGGTGAGTGGGGAGCCTTGCATTTTTCCTTCTGGTCTTTCACTTATTTTGTGGGGGTGTGTTTTGGGAAGCCCAGGTGCCTCCTCAACCTCTTTTAAAACCAATGTGTGCCTGTGCTTTGCAGTCTGGTGCTTGATCCGTGGGGCTTCTGTGGCTGTGCCAGATGTTGCCGTGAGATGTGCTGAAGAAGTGCTGCTGCCCTGTAAAGTTCACCAGGACTCCACAGTCACCTACCAGACAGTGTCTTGGTATAAAGTAAGAAAAAGTTTAATTTACTTGAGCAGTCTGCCTGGCTTTCCTACCTGATGCTGGCTTGTCTTGTACTTGTATGAGTTATTTTATGAAGAAAAATCCTCCTTCAATGTGGCAGAGAGAAGGCAGCAATGAAAGTGTTTGGACTGATCAGGGAGCGCGGGCAATTTACATGTTGTTGTAGACAGACTATCATCTGAGCATGATCCTTGCATTGTTCTTGGCCTGCTTTTCTGTTTAACTATTGGTAGCCTTTAGGGATCAAAATTCAGAGGATGCCCTCTGTTCAACCTGCTAAATACCACTCCAAGATTTCCAGTCTTTTCAGGATTCTCCTTTAGAAAAAAAATTGATATTGAAACTTTGCAGCATAAGCGATGTTGCTTCTTCCTTACTCTCCCCCCACAAGTAGGAGTGGACTTTTTCTTTGAAATAGAAAAGCTAAAAAAACCCCTTTATTACTTAAATCAATTTCTGTATTTTAAAAAGCTTTTGTCTAGAGGATGAGTGTATAAGGGGGTCATGTAGGTGGAGAGCTAGAAAATTCTGAATGATCTCTTTGCAGTCCTAGAAAAAGTCTCATGTTGGCTGCCCTGGTTTAGAATTCCCATCTGTAAAGCAGCACAGTTCTCCTCACCACCTACTTGCAGGATGACTGCAGAGATCAATCCGCTAACGAACAGAAAGTACCATTCAGCCTTTAAAGCTGAAATTGCTCAGAGCAAGAGAGGCAGGACTGTCCAGTGGCTGGAGAACTAGTCACTGACTTGCTCTATGGCACCGTGTATATGCATCTCGGCATATAGTTCCAGTTTATAGCTTGAGGCACATTATTAGAAAAATAGGAGGCTTAGCTCTCTTGAGTGGCCCACTCCCAGCCATGCCCTCCAGTTGCTTGCCATGGGCCAGTGGCCATGGTTATCTGATTGCCTGCTTGGTCAACTTTCTACAACAGCAGAAAATCAGTTTAGGACTGACGTGGGCTACAGAGATGGATCACACATGTAATGGGAGCCTGCCCATGAAGGAGCGAAAAGCGGGAACAGTAAAGGGAGGAGAGCAAGAGAGCTCTCTCTGGTGGACACAAACTGTTCATTTCTCTCTGCCAGAAAGTGAAAACACAGTCCTTGGTTTCCTCAGCAGTTCAGTTAGATATAGTTTTTAAAATTTTGCCCCTGGTTGCATCAGGCAACATCACAACACTGGGGAACTGAGGCTAGCACGTGCAGCCACATGAGGAAAATGCAGCACCAAAGCTAGAAAGCCATACTCTTAGCAGGAACAAGTAATGTTGGCTTTGCACTGAAGACAGAATACTTCTTCCTCCCATGGGGCTAGCTAAATAGGCGGCAGCTAGAAGAGCTCCTTGCTGCTCCATGCCACGCAATGCAGCCATGACATGGGTACTTGGGTACCTGTGTGCCTGTTGCATCCAGCTGCTCCGGACACCTCTGTGCTCTCCCTGCCTTTGTGTGCTGCTGTCCCCCTCCAAAACCCTTCAAAGAGGAGGTGAAGGAATGGCAGAGCACAACCAGGCTACCCAGCATAGAATTAATCTGTTATTTAAAAACAACTACTGAAGGGTAATCAATAAACACCACATATATTCCCAAAGGGCTAATTAAAAAGTAATTCCAACAAATGGTATGAAATTTCAGACTGTAAAGTTCAAACAGCCATCAGGCTACATCTTTTGCGTAAGGTCACTTTGAACTGTGCAGTAAAAGCAAGCAATTTACCTCTGCTTCTGCTGCTTTAAAAATCATAGTGACAACATTACAGTGTTGTGTTTGCAGCAGGTCAAGTGCTCAGCAAACAAATCCCTCCCCGCCACTGCATATTCTGAACAATTAAAGGTCACGTTTGTATCCTTTTCTGTGATCTGCTCAAGAAAAAAAGCTATTTAAAAATACCTGACTTTTCAGTTCTGCGTGGAGAAACAATTGCTTAATGGAGTGTTTGGGTGTCAAAATCCAACTGCATGTAATAAGGCAGTATCATATTCAGCAATTCTTTTGCTTGTGCTAATGACTTATACTGTAAATAGGCTTAACCTCTCATAGGAGTAGTATCCTTGGAGCCAATTGGCTTATTTACAGGCATAAAGTTAAGAGTCTAAGTAATTCTGTTCAGAATCAGAACCAAAATCAGTCTGAAGAAATAGAATGAGAAGTCATATTACAAAATAAGAATAAACCTTATATGCTTCAAGATTTTAGACCTTATAGATTTAATATTAATCATCTCATTTTTAAAAGGAAAGTCCACTGACTAAATATTTATAGTCATTATCATAAGTAAGTAGTTTTTGACGTACTTTAGTCTAATTTCTAATGTACCTAAAGGAATTCAGTCAAATTCTACTCAGACATCCATTCAACTGTAAGTGGTCCCAACACATTCATGATTTAGAAAGGAGCAGAGGAAAAGATTTAATGACTGAAACAATTCTTTTGCCTGACATGAGTTCACACAATGTGTCCTCAGCTCTACAAAAGAGAAGGAAAGGAAAGGAAAGGAAAGGAAAGGAAAGGAAAGGAAAGGAAAGGAAAGGAAAGGAAAGGAAAGGAAAGGAAAGGAAAGGAAAGGAAAGGAAAGGAAAGGAAAAAGGAAAGGAAAAAGGAAAGGAAAAAGGAAAGGAAGGAGAAAGAAAAAGGTTGTGTGATTGAATCATAGGGCTTTTCCATCTAGGCCTGCCTAGTATGTCACATGCAGTTTCTTTACGGTTATTCTTTGTTTGGGTAGGGATTTTTTGTGTTTTTGTTTTCTCTTTGTAAAGCACAGAGTTGACTCACATGCACGTACATTTTATGTCTGTTCAAAGTTAACACTGGTATGTCTACATGACAGTGTATAGGAACCATATGGATATACCTTCAGCACTAATTGAATGTGAAAGTGCTTTTGTGCTGCAAAATATGCCTGCTGGGTGATTTCAGCTCGGTTGTGATTCATTACAGGTTGGCTGTCAGGCATCGCCAGAATTCTAGATATTTTATTTTGGAAAACAAATTCCTGGTAGCTGTATATGTTTTTCAGATCACTGATCTCCTTAGCAGCCAGAAATTTCAACTTGTCCTTTATTCTCGGTGAAAGCTGAATCAAAACCAGTTTTACAATCATCCTACCCTCAGGAAAAAAAGAAAGTTAATGTTACTACATTTCACTTTTACACTGACATCAACCTTGGACCTGAACCATTTTGATTAAAATAAAAAAGGTTGCTTTTATGGCAAAAGTGGATTATATAGGCAGTTTGATTTACCTCAGGGCTGAAGGACCAACTTAGTCTGAGAAAAAATCTGTGACAAAGAAAAGCAGAGAACGTGAGTTAATAAGTGCTTGATCTCATGTGTGCATGATAAAATTTCGTTTTAATTGATTAGCTGGGTTTAAGTACTGCAGCACAGATGAATATCCTTGGAGTAGTGGCAGGATCAGTAATGGTACCCAGTTTTCAGTACCGTCACTAAACAACAGCCAGCTATGGGCTAAAGATGTGTGCCTCCTTCCACCTTGTCCTTAGTTCTCTGAAAAAGCAAAGTTTGTTGAAGGGCATTTACCATTTGTAGGCATAATTAGTATGTAGCATTCTGTTTCTCAGAGGTTGTCCAATCAGAAAACAGAAGAGTATCAACTTAGCAGTATTTTCAGTTGAATCCTTTCCGTTTTAATATTCACAGTATGGCCACCACTACTCTTATCAGTAAACTCACAGCCAAGATAAACTCATAGCAATCAATCAGTTGACTAGTGGATACATGTGAGAAAATGGCACCCCCTTTAGATCTATCATTTCCATGCACATGCACAGAAGGTCTTGTGTCAGTCTTCAGCATTTCTTATGTACCACCTGGTCATGAAGCATTTAACTGAAAACACTGAGCAAATTAGGTATTTCTTAAGACTATTTTCTACTGTCTTATGGATCCATATAAGGGTGCAGATCACATTGCTGGAAATACTGGTATAGAGAGGGAAAGA